CCAAGTTGGAATGGATCATCAAGTCCAAATTCTTGGTTCCCAAAGAACCACCCCAAAAAAATCAGACCATGTGTTTGAGAGCATTGTCCAAACACTTCTTGAACTCTGGCAGCTCGGTGCTGTGACCACTGCCCTGGGGAGCTTGTCCCAGTGCCCAACCACCTTCTCAGTAAAGAACCTTTTCCTGATATCATTGCTGTAGAAGGGAAAGGAAACTAAGAAGCCCAACACCTTTTTGTACCTCATTTCCCCTGCTGCCTTCTTCCCCTGGCCTACCTGCTCTGCCCCCAAAGATACCATGCAACGTGGTGACTGCAGCATCTCTCAAATGAGGCAGTGATGGGGTTCAGGAGCATGGGGGCACTTGGGAGATCGCAAGGACTCAATACCAAAACAGGGATTTTTTTCTTGGCTCACTGAGGGTCTCAGCACAGCTTTTCACAGAATAAACTGGGTGATCATAGGTGAAGTTGGACTCCTGGTTGAAGCTGGCCCAGGCAGCTTGTGCAATGTGCTTCTGACTGCCTCCTGTCTTACTCATGGTGTTACCAACACGGGTCTTCATGTTGAGCACACTTGTGTGATCTCTTGGCAGACACCAGTGGTGGGTTATGGCTGAGAACAGTTCCTAATCTTCACAACTGCTGACTTCCCAGGGTTAAGACATGGACAATTTTAAATAAGTTCAGGTGTGGTACTCTCCTGGCTGTGGGAGGCTGGCTGAAGGAAAAAAGAGGCCTGACAGAACCAAGGGGGATTTTTTTAAAGAATGATTCTAACAACACGGCTACATTGGTGAGGAAATGTACCAGTGGCCCTTACTTTGAGACCTTTATTAAAGGACGAAATCCTGGGAGATGGGCCTGCAAGACACAGTGTAAGCAAAGTGCTCTATGAACTCTGCAGAACATATCCAAGAATAGGTAAGGAAGAGTTAATATGACCTCCCAGCACTGCTTCACCTTTTTTGTGGTTTTTAGATAGCATATCATTTAGGCAGGCAAGTCTCGAAACATTTTGTATAATGCCAATTGTACTAGCAGCAAAAGAGACTCGGAGTCCACAAGTACTCGTGTGCAGCCCTATAGACAGAAGTAATGGCTAAAATTTATAAATGCATGAATGGCTGTATTTCTTCCCAATGAAGAAGGCAGAAGTAAGTTGCTGTCTCTGTCATGTGTCAGTGAATTTATTCAGCATATTTAAGAACTTATCAAATTTTAAATGATATTGCTAGGTGTGGATGTAACTGCTTTCCAACAGTAACAGAAACCCTACACCAGGATTAATACGTAAACAGAAGTGCTGGTTCAAGATTATTACTTTTTTTTTCCACATTTTTAGCTATTTCTACAGCTTCATCTGCATGTTAGTGCATAAACCCAAGCAGAGATCTGTTACTACATTATGAAAATACATATATTAAAGTAAATCCTAAAAGCTCTGTTAGGTTGCCGTGTGCTCAGTGCTGCACCAAGCAGAGCACAGACAGAAGGCCTTGAACTGGACACCAGTTTTGTGACAAAACTTTTCTCCCTCTGTACCAGGGTTTCCCATCAATCTACACACCATTGCAGCTGTCTTATTGTCATCTGAAACTAGAAGATATCTAATATATGAGAAAATCCAAGCCAGAAACTCTCCCAAGCTATTCAAGGCCTTTTCTATACTTCACTTTCCCCACAGCGGCATCCATTCGTACTGTGCTCTGTCCTGATACCCACACCCACAAGGGCACCACCTTCCCTCACCCGTGCAGTACAGCATCCTTTTCTCAGCAGTTTCAGATATTTGAACAAACATCTGAGCCCTAGATGAGTATAACTCAGGAACCACACGCTGGTCAGCTTGGAAAGGTCATGGAGTTTGTCCTCCTGGAAGTCATTTCCAAACATATTAAGGAGAAGAAGGTGACTGTGAGACATCAGCATGGATATTTGAAGACAAAGTCATGCCTAATGAACGTGATAGCTTTCTGTGATTATCTGACTGGCTTGGTGGGTGAGGGGGGAGAAGAGAGGATGTTGCTTATCTCATCTTCAGTAAGGCTTTTGACACTGTCTCTCGTAACAAGCTCACAGACAAACTGATGAAATATGGGCCAGATAAGTGGACAGTGGGTTGGACTGAAAATTGTCTGAACAGACAGGCTCAAAATGTGCTCAGGGGCACAAAATCCAGCTAGAGGCCAGTCACTAGAGGTGTAGCCCAGGGGATGATACTGGGGCCACTCTGCTCAGCTCCGGTGACACCACACCTGGAGTGCTGGGTCCAGTTCTGGGCTGCCCAGTATGAGAGAGACATGGACATACTGGAAAGAGTCTAGTGAGGGGCCACAAGGATGATGAAAGGACTGCAGCATTTCTCACAGGAGCAGAGGCTGAGAGAACTGGGCCTATTTAGCCTGCAGAAGTAGAAGGCTTCTTATAAATGTATATAAATACATGATGGAAAAAAGAGGATGGATCCACATTCTTCTTAGTGGTGCCCAGTGAAAGGCCAAGAGGAAATGGACAGAAATTGGAATACGGGAAATTCAGTTTAAACAGAAGGCTTTTGTTTGTTCGTTCTTTACCAATAAAGGGGACTGAACACTGGGACAGGTTTCCCAGAGGCCTGTGGAGTCTCCATCCTCATAGATATTCTGGACTGGTCACAGCCCTGAGCAACCTTCTAGTTGACCCAACCTGGAGCAGAGGGACTGGATGACCTCTAGAGGTCCATTCCAACCTCAACCATGCTGTGATTCTGTAATAATTGAGAGGTCACTGTCTTTTTGCCAGAAGCAGCTTATATACTGGAGCAACAAAAGAAAGCATGAGAGTAGGGATTACCCTTTTGCTCTCAGTCAGTATTCTACTGACATCAGTGGATGATCACCAGTTTTAGGGAGACCAGAAAGAGGTCCCAAATCCACACAACATGACCCATTATCTTAGCCACGGTAGTTCTGCATTTAGTGGCATTTTCACTTATCTTAAAGGCCCAGATTATGTTCACAGATGAGGAAGATTCATTCACACACACATACTGTCTAATCACAGTTTCATACAAACCCAGAGGAAGCTCAAGACGGAGCTGCAGGAAACATATGTCATTGCCAGTCAGGCCTTCAGTATTTTCATTAGTGAAGCCCTTGGGCAACTGTTTACAACCCTCATTAAAATGCTGGTCCTAATCAACTGTCTCTCCATCTCTGCATACCAAAGGACAGCCTTTGGCTTTCCTTTATGCACCAAGTTATTTTTCCTTTGAGAATTAGCAGTTGGTTTTGTGACAAAATGGAAAAATACAAGTCATTTTGAAGCTGTGTGCAGAGAGTCAACCGATGGATCCAGACATCAAAGGAAGCACAAGCAAACCCCAGCCACTCAAGCAAGTTCAGCGTTGATCCAACTACAAAAAACGCTAAGCCTAGAAAAAACTAAAGGGTGTTTCAGAACAGAAGAGCAAAGAAATCACAGTCTGCTGGAGAACCAGGGATGTCTGATACATTAATGGTGATCACCCACAATCACATTATCTTTATTTAATGACAGGAAATGATTTTTCCTTTGTTGCCTGCTATGGTAACCTTTTTTTTATTTAAGTCACCCCATGCAGTGATAAGCAGCCTTCATACTGCATCATACCGAGCTCCCTCAGTCGTTTCATATAGAAGTATTATTACTTGCTATGCTTGCTCCAGCCTTCTGTAGTCACACTAAATATGTCAGTAAGCATCCCTGCTGGTTACCAGCTGGTTCTTACCATGTTCATCACATCTTGCATTGACCAGCCTAGTAAGCGTACAGAACAAATTCACACACAGACCCTTTCAACTCTGATGGTCCTGCCTAAGCAGCCTCTAGATACCTGGGGCATTCCATACATTGGCTTTATACAGCAAACACCTCCACTTTTTTTCTTCTTTTCTCTCTGGCATCCAGAGAAGAGAAGAATCTGGGCAGGGTCTGCACAGAAGGATCCAATACAGTGAACACTTGCTTAGAGAACAAGCTCAAGAGGGAATGGGAGACAGAGCTACCATCTTCCAGAAGGGAACTAGAAGACTGCACAAGCACCTGCCATAGTAGGGTATTAGGGTGCATATAACCTGAGACTTGCCTGCTGTTTCCTGCACTTATGGATTGCACATGCATGATATATTTTCACTAACATACAAATTTCAGCCCTCAGGAGAACAATCTTATTGCTTCTTGAACAGACTACAGTATAGGGACAGCTTTCTTCATGTCTGAAAAATGAAGATTAGATATAACAAAGGAACTCTGAGCCTAGCAGTATATCATGTTTTTGCAGGTAGTGTAATAAAAGATACTGCTTCTTACTAATAAATGAACTTCTTTATATCTTCAGAGGATCAAAAGAAAAAAAAAAGGCAAAACTGAAAGAAAGAAGTCCTCTACAACTATCTTAAAAACAAACAACATGGTAGCATATGAACATTTCTGTGAGTAAATGCCTGGTAGCAACAATGCCAATCACTGAAGTAAGGCCAATGGGGTATGTGTATGTGCTGGTTACTCTGAGCTTTTTATTAGGTATTCAAAACAAAGTTTAATTTCAGGGACTTGCTTTATGCTTTGCATTGCTGCAGGCCTACCCATGATGTGTGATTGCATTAGACAGCATTCTCTTGCAATATACTGCTGCTAAGAAACTACGAGGAGAAGGTGTGCTAGCGACACCTCCATACCACTAAGCAGTTATTAACAAATCACTGAGGAACAACAATACAACCAGAACTGTGCTCTCCTCTTGTCTCTGTGCCAAAATGGCTAAAATATCTTAATAAGTGTGTCCTTAGTAGTGGACAACATTACTGGCTATAGGGAGCACCTCTAAGGAGTTCACAACATTTGTAAACACTGGTAGAAAGAGTTTCAATAGAGCACTCATGCTTGGAATCACAGATTTCTCCAGCATGGTTGAGGCTTCCCAAGATGATGACCTTGCTACCCTAGGCAATGAGATACAGACCAGAGCAGGGATCTTACCTGTCTCTGAGGACCAGTAGGTTCAGATTCTCGTCTCCTTTGTCGGATAGCTGGTGCTGAGTGTAGGGGGGAGTGGGCTGGACTTCCTGTCTGCTGTTCGTGTTTACTGTCAGACACTGTTTGAGAAGGTCCTTCATGTCTGTGGGAACTGTCCTCCTCAGTCACAGGCTGCATACCCCGACTTCGCCCATCATGTGTCTTCGGCCTGACTGCAGCATCTGCCCCCAAGCGCCTCCTCTCCTCACCATCTTCAATAGGCCTTAGCTCCTCGGGCTCCTCATCCGTGGTTCCAGAGGTGCTTGGCTCAGCACCTGGGTGAAAGTCCTTCAGCTCTGTCTCCTTATCAATGATAACCCACTCCTTGCTATCGAAGTCCTCCTCCTCTGCAAGTGGCACTGAGCGGAAGGCATTGCTAAGGGCTTCGTGTTCCACCGAAGCAGACACATCCATCCTACCACTTGCCTGCCGGTCAGCTTGGCCAGTGTCAATGGACAGCATCTGGGCTGGCTGGGAGGAGCACACAAGCCGTGATGGAGAGCCAGGTAAATCCATTCGAGACCTAAAGACAGAACAGAAAGCTGTTAAAAATACATCAGGTTTGTGGTTAGAGTTAGGGATCATAAGAGTTGAGAAAAAAACAACTCCATAGTCTTCACTTATTTCTTGCTACACTTCAGAAAGACAGGTTTAGCCAAAAAACATCTAATAGAACCTACAGTGGCATAAAGACATCCCCCCTGAAGTACTTCAGTATGACAGCCAATTCCAGCAACTCTCTTTGTGTAGATGATAGTATTCAAAACAGTTTTCCCCCACAAAACCAATGTATCCTTTGGGCAGTTCTACTGCTTTGTGAAATAAAGTTTCCTCATTGGGAAGTTTTACTCCTTTGTAAAATAAAACCCTAAATCTTTTATCTACCATCTGACTTAACCTTTTTTCTCCTGCGCTCCTATAGACCCTTCAGCTGCACCATCCTCTCTCTAAGGTGGCCACTGAGGCCTCTAAGGTGGCTACATAAGCTCTTTGAAGAATCTTGGATCCCATTCTGCAGCAGGAATTTGACTGAAATGCTCATAAACCATGGGTGACCTCAAAACGATTTGGAGGAACAGGAAGGAAATACGGCAAGTATCCTTTGACATAGCTGTACAGTGTTCAGTGACTCACAGCCTAAATAGCAGCAACTTATGCAGCCATGCAGAAATACCTCTTAAACAAGCCCTGGAAGCTCCCTGTGCCCCACTGGCCTTGGTATCATCACAGCTGGAAAAGCCAGAGGCACTTCTGTCTTTCTGTTGCACAGCGTTATGGTCCTTGCTTCTCATTTGGCCTGCACCTGCTGCTGGCTTTGCTTCTCTGTTCTGTCCTGTCTATCAGAGAAGCTGGCAGCTTGTTGCACAGTCAGAATGCCTGCTGCATAGAAAAAGACACCTGCAGTGTTTTTTTACAAAAGGATTTCAGCAAGAACCATACAGGAGGCTTACATACTCTTACTGGAAAAATACTTTTGTATGTAACAAAGCATCAGGGGAAACAGAAAAGTGACTGACTGAAGGGTGAGGGTTACTAGGCAAACCTGGGTATCTTTAACACAGGGGAAGGTCAGAGCTGAGAGGGAAAGAATTACAAGTCAAAAGGCAATTTTTGATGAAGAAAGAGGAATCAGGGAAGGAGGTGAACTACGGGATGATGCAGAGAAAATAGTATGCAAAAACAAAGATCTCAGCATAATCCAACTGATGAATCTGAAAGAAGTAAGGCTGTGTCTGTAAAAGACTTAAAAATAAAGTATATTTTTGTGAATAGAGGAGACTAAATAACGAGGTAAGACTGAAGAGTGCCCCCCCTACACACACACTGTATGTGTAGTACACTGGATTTTAGTGAGGTCTTGTTAAAAAAATAAAAGAAGGTGTCTGGATTTAGCCTAATGTCTTCTTCCTTTCCCCAGAAGAAGAGAGACTCCTGGAGTGGCAGAATTTTCTCCAGGAAGCCAGAGGAATTTCCCATTGCTGGGAGTCGTGACTGTGTTGTAAAAAGAAGAAAACAGAATAAAGAGAAAACTGTGTGGCAGAATGGGATTATATTTGCACCATGCTGAGGCAGAGTATGTGGAAGATGAAAAAAATATATTTTAAAAATAGGGGCTGAGGGAAGAGTACAGGAGAAAGGGATGATTCTTGGATAATACACTTTTTCTATGCTAAGTTAGCATGACGCTGAGTAGACAAGAAAGAATGGGAAAAATAAAGGAATTGGTTAAAACCTTTCAGTGAATGTACAGGACTGGTACTGCTGACAATTATAAATGGCTTATTTCCCTGCCTATTTTAAAGAGGACGAGAAAAGAAAGAGGCAGCTAGAACCAAGATTTGTTACTCAAATCCTAAATTATTAACAGCAACACAAACAATCATTCCTGAGTTACAGAAGTATTACAGCTTCCTCCAGACATCCAGAATAAACCAGTATCTAACAAACTGGGGGTAGTGCTAAGGGCTCATCCCCTCTCTCTAGTTCTTTTTGATCCTCCTTCATTTCCAAATTGTGTCTCTTTGAGACTGAGCTTCCTGACTGAAGTCTGTCAGATTTTCTTTGACAAAGAAGAAGTCAGAGAATAAGGCTTGTCTCTTTCCTACCTGTTTTACAGGGGTCATTTCACCAGTAATTTCTGCAATGCCAGCCCATGCCCTGACTTTCGACAGGAAGAGGACAAGAGAGTAACAAGGAGTATGAAGGGGATTACCAACTTCATGGGCCTATGTCTTGTAACACGCATTCCTCAGCACACAATACTTCGTGCAGCTTTTTTAAATTAATTTTATTATTCTTGGCTTGTTCTTAATTTCTTTGCTGTGGATCTGAGATAGTCCTCAAAATCAGGCTTTGCCTTCTGGATGCAATGCATACTTTGCACATGCAAACAAGTGCAATAGTATAGGCTAAAAAATTATTATTATTATTATTATTATGGAAAAATAATGAAATAATGAAACTCACCAGATGAGGGTCTGCCAGCTAGCTCTCAGAATACGTGCATCCCTGTACGTATCCTAACAACATCCATTATTCCCCCCCACCTTAGGTCGGCCTTCCCTCTGACAAATATCCCTCCCTCCATCTATGGAGTTATTCCCATCCAGGGACAGGATAAGAATTCCTCCCACTAACTGCTTTTATTAACAGACATGAGCGAACCATCACAAAGATCATAAAGCTGATGTGAGCTGACTCCTCCACCCAGAAATGACCTTTCAGTGCCCAATTATTTAACGATCAGGTTGGCCTCAAAAATCAACCCTCAAGGCACTGCTACGAGCAGTAGGAGGTTACAAAGGGTGAGCAAACCTTCTTTCATGTAGATCTGCTTTGCCATCAGCAGTGGAGAGGCGTTCTGACTCGGGGCTGTTCACACGGCGATATCTTAGGGAGCGCGCTTGCGCAGTAGGGGACTCCGGAGGCACTCGGACTGGGGAGCTGGGGCAGACACCGTTTCTCTGCTCCTCTTCCACCATGCACTGAGTCTGTAGGGGGTAAACACAAAGAACCTCAGAAACTGACCACAGACTTTGATTTCCCATCCTTCGCTGGTGCTCTGTGCTTTCTTCCAGGACACGGTTTCAGCTGCGTTTTCACAACCTACACAAGCAATGCAAGGGACAATATGCCCTGCGACTGTCTAATATTAAAGCGAGGTATGGATTTTAATCAGTTCAAATATTTAACTGCCTTTACAAGATGGCCTTTGCCTTTCAATTACCTTGGAATAACTAATTCAAAGGAGTTATCATGGGTTAAACTAATGCAAACACAAACCCTAACTGCTTCTCCAAGGCGTCTAAGAGCCATCTAAGAAAACTGTTATGAAAAATGCATTGTTCGTCTATATTTACCTGTGTAGGGTCCATGCATTATATTACAACGTACATACTTCTAACTTGGATGAAGATGATTCAACTAAGCCAACTCCTAATTCCAAAGGTGGTGGGTTTTGTTTGTTTGTTTGTTTTTAATTTTGGTCCTCTTTACAAAATCTTCCAGGATACTTACTCAACCACAACATCTCTAAGAGATCTCCACAGACCCAGGGTCAACAGTTTGGAGATGTAGGGACCTGAACATACTTGTAGAGACTTGTGAGCATTGAGTGTTCATAGATCTATGAATACATTTCACATGGCATTAGTGAATTTGATTTTATTTTCATTTATTATTTTTAATTTAGCAACAGACAAAGGAGTAGAAGTAGGTGACTAACACAGCCACCTTCTGCATTCCACTGTGCTGCTTCCTTCTGGAAGAGAAGACCTGTTTAGGCAAAAGCAGAGGGGCAGAATGGCCCAAGGTCTGAAACAGTAGTCTAGGGTTTGCATTCAAACATACTGTGCTGCCAGCTATGCAACATCAGGTACTACACACTGCCTCTGTGGGAGTATGCATGGAGAGTTTTTATCTCATTCTGAAGCATGCCCTAAATTCCCTTGCCCTCTGTTAATGCCAGAGACTCTGAATATAAGCAGGCCTCTCAGTAAAATGTTGCTGATCAAGAAAGCTGCCTTTGTGTGAGTACTGTGTACACAGCCAGTCAATCAGTGTTCATAATTTAGCAGATCTAAATCACTCAGGCTGGGTTTAGAATAAAAAAAACAAGGAGCCTTTGCAGCTAGGGGGAGTGGAGATCTTTCAGGCATTACAGGAACAGCAGAATAGATGACAGCGATTTAATCTGTAATTTATGCAGGCCAAAACATGCAAGAATGGTGGTGACAAATGTGTTTCAGAGAGGAACAAAATACTGACATTGTAAATGTAAGGAAACAGGCAACTTGGTAAGATCCATGAGCAGAAAATTGGGGGAGGGTGCAGGAGAGAAGGAAGAGGCTTCTGAAAAAACTCAGAACAAACATCTTGATCCAGCGGAGGAAGGAGAACCAGGAGGATTTAGAAAGGTCAGTGACAGTGAGCAAGGAAAATGCCCTTAGCACAGAAATGGGAGATGTGGGACAGAAGATCAGAACTGTGTGAACAGAGAAAAAGGATGCTCCCCGATACCTCCTAGCAAGGTATTAGGGAGAAAAAACATGGCAAGATCTACTCATCACCTAAATGCAAAGAGCAGGACAAAGACAGCCAGAGTTAATTCTAGTTCTGTAAGACTAGAAAATGAAGGATGGCAATGCTGGGAATAGAAGAAGGGTGTTTTACACACCAGCTGCCTGTATCATTTTGAAAGACACAAGGGATGCCTGAAATTGCAAGCAGAGGTGAAGCTGTGTCCCTGCAGATTAAGTCTGCAGCCTCTTTTTTTCTCCCTGTGGTGATTGTGACTTAAATGAAAACTGATGCTTTATCAGAGAACAATCAAAGTAAAGAGAACAGCCCTAGAAGAGAGAAAGTACAGGATCAGACTAAAGATAACCCTCGCAGACAGAAAGGCCAGATTTCTTTTGCTTGGGAAAGCACGATGTCCTAGGCTCTATTTCATAGACTGCTGTGTAGCCACGGAGCTTGTCAGATCCAAAGTGCTCATTGCCATGCTGACTCCTCTATCTCCTTTGCCAGTAAACTGACAAGAAATAGCATATCTCTTGGCAGGAGAGTCACCTGGTCATGCTGTGGATGTTGCAGAAACCTCCCTTGCCTCTAGCTGCTGTTACGGCAGAGCTTGTGAATAAATGACAGTGCTGAGTACCCAGCCATGGCGTACAACTAGCATGTGGAAAGGACATTTAGGACTCCCTTGCACACGTCTTGGTCTGACTGAAGAGCATCAAGGCACCTGGTGGTTGTAAGGAACAGAAGAACACATAGGAGTTACCACGATTTTTCTGTAATATTCTTTTTTTGGTTTTGTATGCTGTGGAAATAGAATTGCCCCACTCTGTTAGGCTTTTTTTTTTTTTTTTTTATTTCATGTGCCTTCAGATGAGAACTTCTGCGAATGCACACATTTAGTTTACCAGAGAGAGATGTAGAAATGATTTGAACTTGGTTTGTAATTCTCAGTATTGAGGAATGCTTCTGTTAATGTTTCATACAAATAACATGTTGATCCAAATTGTACGCATTGGAGAATTTAAGTAAGTTAGGTGAGATGCTTTCTTGTCCTAAAATAATCTTTCCTAATGAGACTAAGGATAGTGGAGATAGCTATAGGGCTGAAAGAAGGACTAACTTCATGCCTGTGTAGAGACTAAAGTGAATTCTGGTCAGACCTGAACAGCTGGTAGATTTACCATACAGTTAATGTTTTTCCACTAATATCCATTAAAGACAGGTTTGTGAAGTGAATCCAACACACCCTGATAAATCTATGTCTGCTTGACGAAGGTTTCTCTGCTGACAGATTTTGTTTGCGTCTGGTATCATGCCATGTGACATTCTGATTTTGAAATAATTGAGATCAACACAGCAAATACTAGTTTACTTACAATATGTAAGTTGATCTAATAAACAAACTGGTAGATTCTCAAACATAGCACTTATGATGGAATCATCAGCTGGTAAGCCTCCAAGAAATTAGGTCACATTTGCAAGAAAAGACTGAGAAACAGCTTAAGGATTATAAGGAAAACCAGCTAAGTCTACATGGCATGTAGACTAAAAAAACTAATATGACCTTGGAATGCAAAAATACAACAGTATTTATAATAGATTATTCTCTCTTCACAGGGGTAAATCCATCATTATATGCTGCTTTTAGATTGTACCACCCTTAGAGAGGAAAGTTAAAAAATTGGAAGACAAAAATTCGGCTAGTGATGAACCAAGGTTTGGAAAAAAACGGCTTATGAAGACACCCCAGATTGAATTTATTTGCCCAAGATAAAAATGCAGTAAAATTTTAGTTTATAATTTCCCAAACCGGGACATTTCTGATACCAGTATCAGCTACTCAAGGACTAGAATACCATTGCTTGAAGTACCAAGATCCTACATAATGATATAATGGCTATATGAAAGATTTGCCCTAGCATTATTGGGCTCAAAAATGTCCTTTGTATAAAACCCCAAATTAATCCCAATGGCTTCCACTGTGTCCAAGAATTGTGATCCCCATTTCCACAGAGAAATTCCATGGTGATCTTTAGTCTGTACTATGGCTGCCATAGCAGTGGATCCAGGTTGCTTATAGCAGTCTATGAATTCATTGCCCTAAGACCAGCAACCACAGGAGACAAATAAATGTTCTTTACTTTGCTGATGCTGATCCTGAGTTTGTTGCGATTCACATCTGTCTCTTCCCAAACTTCTGCCTCGTTGAAAGCGGCGTTTGGTGTCTGGCCGAGACCTTCTGCTGGCCGGCCTGACAGGATGGGAGGAGCGTTCTCTTGATCACTCAGATGTTCACCCTGAAGGACATCCTCAGTGTTCTCACGAAGCAAATCGCCAGGTACTGGAGTGACGTTAACCACACTATGGAAAAGACAAGAAGAAAGGAAATAACAGTACTTAGAGAGTGTGGCCCATCACACTGCCCCACGGAAATTCCTTAGCAGCTTTTAGTGTATTTTGAGGTTGAAAAAAAAACAGGCAATCTAGCATTACTTCACAACATGAAACACAACAGGAGGAATCCACCTAACATACAGTCACAAAGATAGTGGAAAAGATCAGTGAAAGCATCTTGGAATAGAAACGTCTTCAAAAGTTTCCAGGAGTGCCCATTACACATTACTTAGTTTAAAGCATAGTTCTCATCTTTGCACAAGACAATGAGGCTTAATAGGCTTTGTAGCTTTTATGCTCTTTAATTTTACTATGGATTATTGTTATCTGTTCCCTCAAAAGCACTAGGACAGACCACTGAGCTAAACCTTATCAACTTCTGTTTGGACATATTTTCACCTCTGAGCATCAATCTCTGTGCACCTCTGCACTAGCACATGAAACACCCCACGAAGGTTGTGGAGTTACATTCTGGACATGAACAGCACATGCACTCTGATGTGTTCAGCTCTGTATAAAACCTCCCCACAGCAAGGACAACAGCTGCCTTGCAGCAGGGCACTCTCACGGAAGCTCCAGCTGTGTGCACTCCATGTAATATGCAAAACATATGGGTTCCAGTAATCCATGCCAAAGGTCTCCAGGCATTCCTGAATGTGACTCCAACCCACGCACTCATCCCAAGTAGAAAATATGTTTTCAGGACAGAAAGGGTCTGAAGCCACGTTCCATTACCTTAGATAGATGTTAATATACATAAAGTCAAATCAAGTAGTGGTTACCAGGCAGCTCCTACTTTCCAGGATCATAATGGCCTTTGAATCATTCAATAATGAACTTGTCGGTGAGCTTGTTATTGGGCACGTCCATAGTTTGACTGTCATAACTGCAATACTCACCCAAACATGGCTGCGGTTTGCCTGGTGTTCTGCTGTGGTGGAGTAGAGGTGCTAGTGGACAACAAGATATCTGTACCAGCCTTCTCCCAGTCAAAGGCTTCATTTTCAGTGATGCCTCTTTCTTTCATGCTGTTCTCAAACACGGACATGATTAGCTGGAATAAATTTGCAAAAACAATTTATTCTAAGTGGCTGAGAGAAGCTATCACAAAAAAAAATGAAGTATGAGCATGAGTATGAAGTGCATCTTATAATCTAATCTCCATCTTGCCTGTAAAAAGTAAGGTTATCTGTAAAAAGAACAGATATTCTTTACGAAAAGAATGAAGTGTTCCACACAGCAGTGCACCACCCAAGGAATCGTGATGTTCTCCTGTCAAAGGAAAACAATCTGGATGCTCTAGGCCAACACGGCCATATGTGAGGTCTTGTTATTCCAATAATATTATTCATCTAAATAATTCAGAATTGAGCAGACTCAACGTGAAGAGAGAATATGGTGACGAAGACATGTGACTTATGGCATAGAATTAACACTAGGACATGAATAAAAGTTACCATGAATAAACCCCCTATTTCTTTGTACTTAAATTTCAGTTGTGTTTATCAGCATGATCAGAAAACATTCTGCATGAAGGCCTGGAGAGCCTGCCATTTCCTACTACCTTCAGCAAACTGCAATTAAATTCCTATCTGCCACTTTCAGTTGAGCCAACTTTTTCCTCCTGTTTGTGACCTAGAACCAAAAGATCTCTGCAGCTCTCCTCCCGCAGTGGCACTATGTCTAAGTAAGAGAATTCCCAGAGTTGACTGTCAGCCAGACCAAGGGACAGGTAACACTCCTCCAAAGAGTGGAGACAAACTGGACATGACATGCCAGTTGTAGCAACTCCTTTGCTCAGAAAGGGATTTTAATGTTGTGACAGTTGAATATGATAGGACTGAGTTTCTGTTAGCCACAGATCATGAAGCCTCCTTTCACCTTTGGTGGAAACAGGACTTGTGCTGCTGCTGTTGGCAGGGAATTTCTTGCTCAAAACCAAGTGTGAGTAAATGAAAGGTCACAGTCTTGCTCTTAGCAAATGCATTTCTGGACTTAGTAAACTCAGATGGATGTATTCTCATGAATGTGCCTAATTACTAGCCTTCCTGAGCTTCCATCTGCAGCCAGGCCCAGCTGTAGCAGGGCTGAGCTCCCCCAGGAAAAGCTCAGAGATGACGTGGTTTCCTTTCAGGATGAGAAAGGTTCCCTGGGTAGCTGCTAAAAGAGGAAGTGGTACGAACTGTAGTATTGGAGGATCTGTAAGAAGAGGGTTTAGAGGTGAACAGAATAGCACTCAGAGCTGGTAGGGGAAAGGGAAGTAGTGTGGTTACTTAATCAAGGCAAAAGGGAGACAACCATGGTGGCTAACAAGCGTGCACACATACGAGTGAGGGTGTGGGAAGGAGAATTGCAAAACTACAAGAAAGAGGATAGAATTCGCACAAAGAGAATAAAAACACAAGCTGGGTTACCAGGGTAGATGGAGAGAGAAATACAGCTGTGAGTGATAAAGTTTCTCTTCCTCTTTCTCTTTTTAAAAATAGCAATATGGAGAAAAAATGGCAGGGGAAAAAAAAAAGGCAAGGAGTCACTAATATAAAGGATCTGCATTGCCTTCCACCCCTAAAACATCTTTCCTGTGACACTGATAAAACTACAAATAGCAGATGCAGTTGCTTTTTCCTTTACGTGTGCTGCATAATGATGGTGAGGACTCTAGGTGTATTTCACCATCCTACTCTTCCCACCCTTCACATGGGCATATTTGCCTACACTGACAATTCCAGATGCTGATAATAACAAAGCTGAAGATAAAGATTGCAGACTTCAAGGAAAAGACCACTCAGAGGACAGAGCACAGCAGCAGCAGCCAGTCCCCATCTGTCTGTCCCCATTAACAAAAGAGCAAGAAAGGAGAGGCTGACCCATTATGCCTCTTCTTACATCTTTGTTTGGCCTCTTTATAAAGCCAAAAGCATCCTATGATATCCAGCATCCTGCCAAGCCCGGGACATCCATCAGGAGAAGGCAGACAGAAAATACATCAACTTTCAGACAGTGAGGGAGGAGGGAGCAGTAAGAGTGATTTGGTAATCAGAGGCTCACATGCAGCCTTTATGCTTCATTCCCCACCTCAGAATGATGGAGGGGAGAGGAAGGATTCTACCAAAACCTCATGTTGCTGCAAAAGAAGCAAAAACTTCACTCAGTACAGAGATGGGAGCCATCAAAACTGCACTGACACCAGATCAAACAGATGGAATACTGGAAGACTTAGGAATGGAACGGAACATCACAACTGCAGTTTATCACTTGTGGGATATACACATCTTGAACACGCAATGCTGGCAATTCCCCACCTCAAAAATGTACAATTGGAAAGGTTCAGAGGAAGATCAAAGGTGTGGAAAGGCTTCCTTCTGTGCAAAAAACAACTCAGTAGACTTTAGTATGGGTAAAAGAGTAACTGCAGAGCAACACCGAGGAGGTTTGGAAGATAGTGTGTAGCTGGGAAGGGGGAGAAAGGAGTTAGGGATCTAGTGTCCGGAGTTATATCCAAGATGTAAAATACAGAGACATTTTTGGATGAGGAGACTCTTGAGCCTCAAGGATCTTTGATCCTTAAGTTTTGAGAGTTTTTGAAACATCACTGAATGTTCATTCTTTTATAATCTCACAGACAACACCATTGGAGACATGCTACGAGGCCAGAAAAATATCTTTTCCAAAACCGTGCAGCTGCCCTTTTGTAATAATTTCTCTCAAAGGGAAGAACTTGGAGATTGACCAGAACTGAACAGCAACATCGAACACTAAACCTGTCCAGCGATAGGTCAATATTCAGAATCCTAATTCTCACCTGGTGATTAGTATGTATATCTTAAATTGAAATATAATAAAGGGCTAAGAAAAGAAATAGTAAACTGTAACTTTAAATTGCATTCATATATATTTTATTCTGTTTCCTTATTTCTAATCTTATCATTCCAAATTTTAAACCACCCATGACTTCATATCTGAATAGACATGTTTTCCTCACTTCCTTAGCTTCTCTGAGTGTCTGGTACTGGTGTCAAATTCAGATGCCATCTGATATATTTTTTAATCTTTCTCAGTAATAAATTCAGGTAAGTGAATATAAAGGACACCTCTGGAGAATTTGCTGGCTGGAATATACCTCCAGTCAAGCTAAAAGAATCAGAGTTCAGCATTGAGCTACAGGTGCCAGATTTTTGTGGAGTTCCCTTTTGTATGCTTCTTCCCAGAGATGCACCTGCAAGAAACTGAGGGCAAGGAGACAATTCACAGCTTCTGACAAATCCCCAGCTGTGAAAAAAGCTGTTCAGGATTTGTACTGCACTAAAATGGTCTGGAAACACCTCCTTCCATTCCTATCTCAAAGATGGCTTTTCAGTACAGTTCAGACACAATTATTTTATACTGAAATAGAATGATAGGAGGATGTAGGTACAAAAAGAGCTTTCTAATCCAGCCATCTGCTCAAATCAGGGCTAATTACAAAGTCAGATTCAGTTCCTCAGGGCCTCGTCCAGTTGAGTTTTGGAAATCTTCAAGGATGGAGATTCTACAGCTTCTCTAGGTACCTGTTCCACACATAACAAACCTCATTCTGAATTTTGCCCCTAGCTCTAGTCACAATTTCTCTTGATGCAGCTTGCCTGCATTTTGCTGTATGCCTCCAAGAAATCTGCCTCAATCCTCCCTTCAACCCTCCTTGAGACAGTGGAAAGCAGCAATTAGATCCCCTCTTGTCTTTCCTGATCCTGACTAAATAAATTCCAGTCTCTCCCTTCAATTCACCTCCAGTTCATCCCTCTCCAGCCCTCCATCTTAGTTGCAAATGTTATACTTCCACTGTACTATCCAGAAAGTGATTTTTTTCCTGAAAAAACTTTTTTTTTTTTTTTAAATGAGTTGTGGTTGCTATGCTGAACATGTACGTGGCTAACATACAAAGCCACATCTTCCCACTCATTTGATGCACTGTCAACAGAAGCAGTCACTCAAAAGACTGCACAGATCTGCTCGTAAAATGTTGTTTTCATCGCTTTGGCTTTAATGTGGAGAGAAAAGCACTGTGATAAAGGGGAACAATCAAGTTGCTTCAGTTATATTGTGTTAGCTGAACTACCATAATAGATCACACACATGCAAATAGTGCATGGAAGAAAAAATGTTAAGATGAATATTAAATAAAGGTTATAATAGCTCAGGCCTACATAAACCTGCAAGAAACCAAAAGGATTGGTGTGCACTGCTGAGCGATTGGCACAGGCTCTCTGCAGACTTTGGCAAGCTGTGCTAAAATTCTGCCACATTTGGAGTATCTCGCAACATTTATGGTTTAATGAAAACCAGAAATACTCTGTTGCTTGGGAAGAGCTTTCTGTTTTAGAGTAAGCGCTTATTTTGGGCAGGGTTAGCAAGAGGGTGAGACAAGGAAGAAATGTACAGTCCAACCTTTTTCTTCTGGTCCTAGAAAAGGTATTCATCAGCCTGATATGAACATGTGCATGGAAAAATTAGAAAAACAACAAATGCCAATCCAGACTGCCCTGCATCAGGCTGGTAACAAAGAAAGGCTCCTACCTGATAGTCTGGCTTAGTGAAGTAGTCCAGGCTTGCAATATGATCCAGAAACAGGTGGAACTCTGAAGGCATGTGTTTTAGCAGCATTCGGTGTTCATACTTTTCTTTTATCATGCCAACTTGTTCCTGAAAAACAGAAAATAGCTCAAGTCAAGAATCTCTTTTATTGCTTCATATTCATACTTCCTCGGTCTTATCATTCCTGGAATACCATGCAGTCCAGGAACACAGCTGCTGCTTAGACACAGCACGGTATCTAGGCACTTCTCCTGTTTTGGTATCCCTAGCACAGTGAGGTAGACCATTGCAGGCAAAGGCCAAAGGAGAATCGTGAGTCAGAAACACTCTTCAGAAGCTGTCCCTTCAGCAGAGCCTTTGGCACAGGTAACATATTTCTTTCCGCGATTTAATTCTCAAGCACAAAGTACTTCCAAGGTAACATGAACAGTTAGCTTTATTCTGTTCAACTTTCTTGTTGCAATTCCCATTTGGCTTGTTTTTCATGGCAAAGAGTTATCCTCCCTCCTTTCTCAAGGCTCTGCTTATTTGTCAAAAGGACAGTTCTGATGCAGTTTTTCCACTTTTGTGCTTGCTTTACAAGAACAAAGTCAAAGTTGCTTGATCCAACATGATTAACTATGTGCATAAGAAAACATCTATTCCAAACAAGACAAGCTCTACTCTGTGCGTCACAGCACACAAAAACAGGTTAGCACCTTGCAGCAAGATCTGATGAAAAACAGGCTCCAGCTTTACTCCAGCAAAAAGCAGCACTCAGTTGCAAAAAGAGGAATAATAAGAGTCATAATAACAAAATATAGCACCCTGTCTTAAGCACAGACACTGGGTTTCCTACCTTATCTTTGATCTTTCGCCATGGAAGCTGACCAACTGCAAACTCCACCAACATGTAAAAGAGGGACCACAGATCATCATGTCTACCCATCTCCTGGAGAAAAGAGAGACGAAGACTGAGGAGCAAAGTTCCATGCTGCTCAGTGGTCCAGGTGTGCTCTCCAGATGAGCTACCTCATTTTAAAAAGCAGGAAGAGAAGTCATACTTCCCATTACATGATCAAATAAGCCAGATTAAAAATTTAAGATGCAGAATCAAGCACTTATTAAATGGGGCAATGTCAATACAGTCACTTGAATAGCTTCATCTGTTTTCCTTGCGAATACAATAGGAAAGAGTTTTTTAATATTTAAAACAGAACACTAATTTTCCATAGGACTCTCCCTCACTCAGTGTACAGCACATTTATTAATGGGATATGGTCTGATCTAGATTAAGAAAAAAAGCACCTGTATGTAGAAAGTCTTTTTTAGTACTGTTTTTAAGCAAAGTATCATTCCGACTCTGTTCACAAGACAGCATTTACTCAAGGGCTTTATTAAAACTCTCATCACCACGCACCACAACAATTTACAGATTTGTAACTTCTCCGCATACCATTCTCTTCCTGGTCTAGCAAATACAAAATTGAAACATGAACATGAGGATTAAGGCTGAAATTGTCAAAAACACAGGACTTCATTTTTTGGTGCTCAGCATATCTTAGAACAAGATTTCTCAGAATAGCATGTGTTATGCAGCATTTTTTGTGCCTAAATATACCTTCAGCTGATGCCAGCTACAGCTGGCACTATCCAGCTCTTCCAAAAATCACACTTTAGGTTTCTCAGTATCCCCCAGGAAACAGAAAGAATTCATGATGGCATTCAACTTCCCTCCCTTTATCACACTTTCCACCTTCTGCAATAATTGACATCTTGCAGCCAGCAACGTCTTTCCCTAAAAAGACTTGAAATTTCCTGATATGTGCCAAGTCATGCTACAGACTCATCCTAAATAAAACTGAATTCAGACAATTGCTAAGGGATAGCAGTGTATATACTAGTCTGAGGCTTACCAAATCTCAGACCTCTTCTCAGCAAGAACTGAGCTGGTTTTGCTATAGTTTTCCTGGAAGTTCAGCTTCTAGCAGATTCCTCCCATTAAATATATTATTTTCAAACATAGGGAATTTACAGATAGCTACAAAGAGGCTCTTTAAATAGAGAGCATTGGGTCTTACAAACATTTGTAAGTAGGAAAGGAATTCCCTAGCACATCCAAGGAATCTGAAGTACCATGTCCCCCAGGAGCCCGAAGCAAACTATTTGGAGAACATTTTTGTTGTTGATGCTTATTTCTTAAATCCCACTTTATGGAGAATTTTATTTAACATTGCCTTCCATACAAACACTTTTCATGACATACTAGAAAAATTAGAATCAACAAAGATTATGTACCACAAAGATTATATATCTTAGCTTGCACCAGCACAGGCATTTGCAGGACCCTCTGCAAGCGGAAAACTAAAGTGGGAGAGTTTACTATTTATTTATTTAACGTGTACGTCTATGTATAAAACATACACACAGACATACGTTTGTGTATAGCAAGTATTCTTTCAGATGATTGAGTTTAATTGGCTTGCAGAAGGGTCCAATAAGTGCCAGGACCAGGAAAAAGGATGGGACCGTGGTGCTTGTGGCAAGGGAAGAGATGAACAAAACACTCGCTCTTCAGGTAACAGCACCCTGCTCAATTGATTACAGGTTTACAAATAGCTGAGCTACTGTCCCAGTCTATAGATGAGGCCATAAGCAAAAGCTCCAAGAATGCTTTTGCTATGTATAGAACAGTGCAATGATTAGAAACACGATATCAATGCTGAACATACACAATACCAATTTACGATTACAAATACCCTGTCTCAAAAAGCAATAGCACTTAGGATGCTAGAAACCTGGAGATAAGGCAGGAGGGATGCTAATTCTCATCTGGCAAGCACTTAGCAGCAGAACCAGAGGACTTATGCTTCACTGCCTATGTGGGAAGAATTATTGACACAGGACAAAAGTGTTTTGAGAAAAAATGGTGGATGAGACTGCTAGAAGTGTTTAGAATGAAACAGGCCAGACACTGGAAATAATGGCTCTTTTCAGGGAAAAATAAATTTGACTTTAACTAGGTTGCTTTTAACCTGAGACCATGCTGTTAAGAACAAAAATTCCAGGTGTCGAATGGATTTGGTGACCCAGCACTTTGCAACTCACAGCCAAGTTATACTTGAAATTAGCACGCAGCCTGGCACTTAACACGGAATGCTGTTTTAGTGGGATTTTTTCCCCCTTAAGCATGTCTGACAATGCAATAATTACAATTATCAAATTTACCACCTAGAGAGGATCCAGTAACTGAATCATAATTATGATTTTACAGTCAACAGCCTTGACCTTCTAATGAAATTAGTAGGATTTATTAATTTCTGTAGGCTGTAAACCAGAACTTGCACTTCTTAGACCTCTCCACCTGAGAACACTTATCCAGGGAGAAATAACCCTGTTGTTAACTCTTTATAACCCAGAAATACTCACTCGGTTTTTGTGTGCGTTCACTGAAGCATAACGGACTGTTCCTCGAAAACCAGCAACGTTGCGAGGCTGAAGGGAGACAACAGAAAAATCTCAGAGACAGAGCAGGTTATTTAACCCCATGTGCTAACTGCTGAGAACTTCTCATCTATACTTTTATTTCTTATGGACCCAAGGCAAAAAAAAACTCTTTATGCCTTCATCTGCTCTAGCAGCCACCTGAACAGACAGCTTTTCCAATTCTGTATTTGTATAAAAAAATAATTTTACACAGAAAGCAAAGTGATTACAGAGATAGGTTAGAACAGTAATAGTCCAGACATAGAAATAAGAACATTTTCCAGGATCATATTTTCCTTTTTAAATACCAGGACAAGGAAAAAGCTAGTAAAGAAGTGCTAGTGCAAAAAAGAGTCAGGAAAAACATCAGCAAACCTGAGGGCAGCCTGTGTGTGACAAAAACAGGGATCCCTTGGTCTAACACAGGGATGACAAACATATGTATTTGCTGACATTGTTTGTCAACATCCTCTAGAAGACTTATAAAAACGAAGATCCTCTGACTTTTGGGGCTCTTGCCTTTTTTTTTTTTTTTTTTTTCTCCACAGTATATTGTAAACCATGTATCTTCAGTTTCTCTTGCTCAGATTGTCTCGATCTTCATGTACCCAGAAGTGAAGGCTTGATAAAGGCACCTTCAAGACGAAGGCAGTCCTCCTTTGACTATTGCTCACAGCTGGAGGCTTCCTCTGTTCTGGGTGCTGAGCAACACCCCCAAATCTTTCCACTGCTGCCTCCACAAGGACACTAAGTCATGGACGCTTACTTACTCTGTTCTGAAAAATGTGCATTTAAAGAATGACATCCAACAACTCCTTCCAGCTTAGCTAGAAACACCAGAGCTAACTACAGTGCTTTCAAAATTCCCGTGGCAAAGCAAGGTTCAGGCCCAGGCACCTTGATGTTAAGCATGGGCAAAGCACTAGACACTGATAATTAATATGCTACTTTGGCAGAATTCTGAGTATATTAATAAATACTCTATTTGGGTGAGTTGTCCCACTTAGGTCAGTTGCTTTATGTTTGTTGTTTCAGCTGTGCCTATGTTTTCAGAGCTAAGCCTTAAATTTGGTACTTTTATTCTAGGGCACGCTTCTGTCAGTTTAAATGCACACAATTCAGTCACTTCCCTCTGGCTACGGGGAAGTTGCTCTGAGTTTCAGTATTTTTACAAAGACTACAACTTCAAATGCATTTTAAACAAGCATTATGCTGCTACCACACATCTGACTGGTATACAGTGCAGCTCCCAAGTTACAGCGACTCCAAACAAAAAGTCACACTCCACGTGGAGAACACACATGCATATGCCATGTACTTAATGCAGCATATAACATTGCAGTCCACTCGCTTGAGCTATTAGCTACTTATTTAGCAGCAGGTAATAGTCAAGATATTATTTCCATGACCACACACCTCTTTCCTCACTGAGCATACGTTTCAGATGCTTACTGACAAATTACTGCAAAATATTTTTCAGTATTCCACCGAATTTGCTGATGTGAGTTTCTGAAAAGCAGAATACTGGCCACTGGAACACGTCTGCTGGAATCACCCATCACCATAAATGTCCTCTACACGTTAAAAAGCAAGAGGACATTCCTCTTTGCCATCGTGAGTGTGGAAACTCACGTGAGTGTGAGAGATGAAACAGCAGCAAATTATGAACAATTCTAGTGTATGATCTGTAGGGCTTTCAGAACAAACATTGTTCAGTCTCTGCAGTCCAGGGGAGTTTATCTTTTATGCTTTTTTCCTACTTCAGTGTCCTCAGATATCAAATACAAATTTGTATATATAGAACCAGTTACTACATTTTGGTTTGGTTGGCAATGTCTCTGAAAATACTTCTTAGATCAATGCTTACTATTTGTGGCACAGTATCTATACAGTCTTTAATTAGATCTGTTCTGAAACCAACTCCTGGGCAGTTTGCAGATGTATTCCCCTCCTCTTTCATTAACAAAGCAAACGTCCACCCACCATTTAACTGTACATGTACATCTCTACAAGAGCCAATATGAACCAGTTCATCAAGCCATTCTCCACAGCTGAATCCAATGGGCTGTCTCTCCAGTCCTCTCTGATATACTGCCTCAGTGAAGGGACACTGCTCAAACTGAGCAAGACCATGCAATTATTTTGACTGGATATTTAGAACTTTGAACAACACAGGCAGACGCTAACTGTGTTAATAGCTTTCTTCCTCCTAAAGGTTTTCCCTCCTTTTGGCTGTATTTGGCTGCCCTGCCAGTCACAAGGCAATTAGTCATGTCTTTTGACTGTCACTAATCAATGCAATCAAATGTTTCCATTACTGTGGAGAGCAGGAGAGACCTTATTTTTCATCTAAACAGTTCCTGCCTCAGCACTTGCTGTAGCTCATGCTGTATACTCAACTGTTACTGACTTCTCTTCTGAATTCATCAACATTAATTTGTCAGATGATTTCTTTACAAACTTCATTTCTTCCCATGAAAAAAATTTCATCCCACCACTGCATAATCCAGCAGCGGAGGATACCCTGGATAAAGCATCACAGCCATCCAGACCTGTCCACACCTGACACAGAACTGAAATTCTAACAGTTAGGAACTTCAGATTATGGAATCATGCATAGAGCAATTGGTTTGAACCCCCAAAATTGTAAGGTAAAAAGCTAGAAAGCTGAAGTACAATTTTTAAACCATACATGATTTTTATTTTTTTCCACATCAGTGTTACTATGAAAAATGTTACTCAGGATAAAGCTTGTCTCTTCCTGAATTCAGATTGTGTCTAGCACACAAGCAAAAGTAATTTATTACACAGAGCTGTCAGGGAGATGACAGATATGAAATATATTGCATTGTGTCAGAAGCAAGGTTTAAAATGAGTTTTAGCTTGGGAGAATGTGTTAGACTAGTACTGTAGAGCAAAAATTATATTCCTTTCATATATTGGCAACGCTCACTACATCACAAAGACAAAATTTGGTAACAAAATTATGTACAGAGTGGATGTATCGTCTGCAATTGCGTGCTGTCTTGCACCCATCAGCTTCTTCTCATTCTCCAGTTCAAACACGGATGATCATCTGTATTTTAAGGGCCAACAGTGTCGTCCTTACGATTCAGATGAAGTCTGTCTTTCCTGTATATGCTCCCCTTTCTTCAGGAGCATTCCTGTTTCATCATGATTCCGGATCCCTGCTCCTTATACCATCTTCTTACCTAGACATCAAAACTTTTCCTCTTGCCTCACTGGTCTCTAGATTGCTACTTTGAAGCTCCTGTTCTTCATCTCCATTTCTAAAAGCTTACATTTGAGTGCCAAAACTTTCCTCCCGCCATTTCTTATGCCTGTGGTACTCTCAGAGAACACAACCACTGGTTCCTCCCCAGCCTTCTAGAAGCCTGTGCAAACATCTCATGAGATCCACCACCTTTGCCCCTGGCAGGCCTGTTGTCATCTGGGATCATTCACCCAGCTGTCATGGAAACAGGAAAGGAACTTCCAGCAGCAAGAAAATGAAGGGAGAGTTAGCACAGACCGAAGAGGAGGTGCTAAGGGGAGGGAGGAAATGTCACAGATCACAGCAAGCACTTTGAGATGCATCTTGGACTGAAGTAACTTGTTGGAAAAGTTGGAGTAAGAAGGAAAGTGAAAGGAAGCTGTAATTAATCAAAAAGCACGTATCTTTGTGACTGCTAGGAATTTCCTGCTCCCAGCAGTTAGGCTTACAAGGAAATACATCTACACTTCTTCTGTAGAGACAAATTCTGCATCTCTTACATGCATTTTGAGTCATTAAACAGCAGTACTCTGTAGAATCATTAACAGCAGCAGCACATTTTGTCCCAGTAGGGAGTTAGAAATGAATAAATAGAGAAATCCAGGGTCAAAAACGTCAGATGACAGAATTCCCCTCCCCTCGCCTCTGAAACCACAAAAAACGACAAAACCACAGTCTCTGGCACTGCCCAAATGTCTGCCAGCCCCTCAGGCAGAATCCCAAATACTCTAGGCCTCTGCAGCACATTTAGGTAGCTGTCAGGATCCTGCTGAAAAACAAACATATCATGAGGGAAAAGAAAATCAGGTGTAATTTGGACTTCCATATATAACAAAAGTGCAAAACAAAATGAAAACCCAGAAGCATGATGATGGCTCACTCACAACTCATAGCAGAGATGGTTACGAGCAGCGGATGGGAAGCCAACGCATCAAACACAGCCTCAAAAGAAGAGCCCAAAAGAACTGTAAAACAGAGAGAAACCCAAAGGAAAACATGATAAAAAACAACAAAATGAGGAGAAAAATTAAACAGAAATAAATTAAAAAACAATTCAATATTGCATCCCTTCAGAAACCTGGGCGTCTTGTCGAGCTGTTGTCACCCCCCAGCATCCTTCCCCGCGCCGCTGCCTGGCGCTGTATGTGGTTTAATTTAGACACAAAACTTTGAGCGAGCCTGTGTGGTTTGTGAGTGCTCTGTAAATGGTGAGAGGGGTCCCTCTAGAGACTAACTTCCCCCGATCACATATCACACACTCCTAATAGAAAGCATAAAAAACAAATGTGAGAGCACAGACGCATACAGGTTCTACTGTGATTTGCCTCCCTAGAATTACCTCCTCTGCTCCCCAGTCAAACAGACTGATATTAGTAACCAGCAAGGGGATTTGCTCTCTTCCATCTCCTGCATTTTTCACCCAGGGCAAGTTCTAACATCAGTGCTTTAGTTTCTAAAAGCTAAAAGAGATGTCCCCTTCCCTGTTTGATTATTTATGGGTTCCCACATCAGATTTCTGTTTATTTCTGCAACCACCACCTTGCCTCCTCACCAGTCATCTTCTCACAGTCACTGGCTGGCCAAATTCACAGGTGTTAAAGCTGCCTAATTCAGGCTATTTCCCCTTTCCTGATGCTTGCTGCAGTGCCCTGTCCAGAATGCTAGACCTCCGCCACCTGTGGTGGGATGCAGAATGGTGGTTTGCAAGAGAGCAGACTGAATATCAGTGTTGCTTTTAAGCCATGTGAACAGACGTTATCTTAAGGTGTGAATTACACAGCATGGAAATGCAACGATCACCCTGATCAGAGGCAAGAGCTAATATTATAACGGACCTTAAAACAAAGTTCAGGAAACTGAAGAAAAATCTTGGCTGAGACATACATTTGCCAATAGAAATCAACTCATCAAAAGCAATCAACCAAACAGAGCTTCTTACTTGAATGTCACCATTCCTCTTATCAAAAAATGTGCAAGTTCTATGAATTCTGCAGGTTCTGCAACAAATTTAGTTTTGAGAAAGTCACTTAGTAGTCCTGGAGTATTCTTTCCAAAGCAAAAGACGTGAAGGTGATTAGCTAAAAGGCTATCTTTTCTTCTTCATTTTAGGAGAACTCAAAATTTCCAATGGATTTAAACACTGAAAACAGAGAAGTGATCATTTTGTCTTTCTGAATAACAGGCTAAACACATGATTTCTGCACTAGAGCTTGGATTAAGTAGCACAGAATATCCCCATGGAAAGCATGGGAAGTGCTAAGTAAGAAAGATAAGGTTTCCACACACTATTTATTACACAGAGCAGCGAACAGAGCGAAATGGAAATGTTCTGGAGAGCTGTCAAGAATTAGACACATCTCACTTAGGATTTACAGCTCTTAATGCTTTCCTGGAGTCAGGTGGAAAAGACGGTCCTTTTCAAAGGAGGCAAAAGACAAAAGACTGCCGTGGCAATCACTCGGATGCAGGAGAGCTAAGTCCAACCTCCCCCATCCCCAGACAGACATTAAAATCACACCTCCCTCCTTCCAGAGTGCACCCACACCTGTAAGCTACAGGACGCTTTGAGATGCAAGACTGAGAACATCCATGTCGGAAAGGATGCATTGTGCATGGAATAATTTAATATTTATTACCAAGAGAGAAAGTGTGTGACAGGCACTCTGTAACCTGGCAGCAAACGCACTTACCTGACGTAGGGGAGACTTGACCTGCAATCCAACTCAACATTCACTTGCCTAGGGTGCGAAGCCCCTGTTCCCTCACCACTGGGCAGAGCAATAGCTTTCTTTTCCTCTTTCTGTAGTCCAATGGGAAGAATAATCAGAGCTTCAAATGGAACAGCACCAGTCAGAAAGGAAGGAATGACACATTCAGGTGTTTTGAAGCCCCCTACAGCATGGCAGTACTCAGAAATGGAAAATAGGATCTCAGTGCCCTCCAGGCGTGTATAGGATTTGAGCCTTGACTGCTCCCTTTCCCCTCACCCCTGTAGTACAAGAGCTCTGACTAGAAAGCTGCTACAAAAAACAAAACCATCAACAACCTGACAGAGGTGATCTGAGGTCACCGTCACTGCACCAGGGCTTCCAGGTACAGAAAGCAAAAAACCAGCAAGTTCTAATGGACAAGATACAAAAGTCCCTGCTCACCAACAGATTTTGAATTGGTACATTTAAACTGCATAGTTGTAATGTTTTAAAACAACACAAACTCCCTTCTTAAGTCCAAATTTGGTACTCCAACAACAAGAGTAATAATGAGAACCTGTACACAATTTTCTATATTGTCCTATAGTTTTAGTGTTCTATAACATTCTGTAACTAACTCACTCCCACAGAAATGGCACTTTCATAATACATTAATTGTGCAATGTTTTTAAGACATAGGTCCGCTTTTTTCCTTCTTCCCATCTCTATGTGAATTAATGTGACTATGCTGTGCCGTCAGCCTTTTCTGCAATTACCTTTTCCACAATATAAAGACAAAAATTACGTCCTTTCCTAAGCTAATATAGCACTTTGAGTACTACAGCTTCACAGATCTGTTTATTCTACTGCAAAGCTGTTAATCTTATCAGTAACATTATACTCTTAGATACATTTCAAGTTAAAAGTACGTGAAAAAGCTACTGGACTTCTATGTTTGAATATTTGGGGTCTTAGGATCTAGGAGTTAACATCCTTTGTGTTATTTTATAGCTCACTTTCCAGCAGGGAGGAAAACTATAGCAAAATGTACCATACTCTCCTCTTCTAATACCTTGCTCACTGCAGTGAAGGCTATTTTTAACACTGTGCACAGACACTTGGAAAATAAATATATCAATTAGCTGACACATTTCTGCAGCCTTCATCATGCTCGTCTACACAGGCTACGCATCGCCCTGCCCACAACCTCTCCTCTCTACCCACCGAATCACAGAGCCGCCCTCGCACATGCATGGTATTTTCAGCAAGGCACTGCAAACTACTGCAGTGCAGTCTGAGCCACGAGGAGACCGAGATCTAATCAATGGGCTGCAGCTGACTAAGCTAAAAAAAAAAAATGCTTGCTGAGCATAACAGCTCAGTGTCAGATCCTGCAAGCAGAGAGAGGCTCCTGGAAAAACATAGCAAAGCCTCTCCTCTCCTCTGTTCTCTAATAAATAAGATCAAGTTGCTAAAACCTCCATCACTTTCAATTAATATCTGTGGAACCACGGAGAATGTGTTGCTGAAGGCAGGGTGTCACAGAGAGGGGAAAAGCATAACGCTGTCTGTACGGCACCTTAGCGACAAGCCTAGCAGACTTGAACAAAGACCAGTAATGATGAAGGAGTTATTGTCAAAAAAATGACCTACATTAGCACTGAAGACCTTCATGACTCCACACACCTCCAGCATACGAGCACGGGCTGCTCATCATATTATCTGTCATGTCTCTGTTCCCCTCCAAGTTCAGATTTTCTACTCAGCCCTGGTTCTCTGTATTGAACACCCTCTGCTGTAAAAATGAAGGTGAGATGATGATTTTTCTTGTACGCTTGCTGCAGAAGATACTTCCAAAAATTTTAAAAGACAACCTTTCAACCCATTCTCTAGCTTTTTAGCTCTGTTGTCTAAAATATGTCTCAGCAATGAGTGCTTACAGTTCATTGCTGCATTGCAAAGGTCGGTTGTGCAACTGGGACAATACAGGGAATAAGAAGACTCTTCTCATCCCTGCCTCAGTCATGGCAGAAGGCTGTATTTAGAAGAAGAAATGGTTAGTTTCATAGAAAAGGTCCATGTATCCCATAATGTCAAATTTGTTATGGACGGTCTTGGGATTCACCCCAAAATGAACATTTTCATGGGAGGGGGGCAAAAAAAAAAAATCACAAAGGAAAAACTAGATTTTTTTCTCAGAAGAGAATCCTCTGCATCTGGAAGCAGTTATTAACTGGAGCTGAAGTAATAGTTACCCTCCATAACCCATGTCTTCTTAAACAGATCTCCAAGCCTTCCATGACTGAAAAACTGAGAAATGAACAGGTTAAACAAATGCCAGCTTCAAACTGTACCATCTCACCTGGACGGGAACCCTCATGCTGGTAAGAAAACAGATCTCATATCAGCATAATTTTATCAAAAACTACACTCCCCTGCCACCAAAGTTATGTAATTGCACAAATCCTGGGAAGATCCTGTGGGGAAAAGGGTACTGGAGGGGGCTGCATAAGTTTGAAAAAGAGAGGATAGCGGCCTTGGATGAAGCAATGGCATTGCTTTAAGTATTAAAGGAAGAAAAAAGTACTTCCTACGTCTCAGTAGCTTGGACAAAGTTCTGACTGACCCTAGATGACACTGCTCCCAAGCTACCTCCCCTCAGAGTCTCCACATTTCCGAATTTTCTTTTCCATAAAGGTAAAAATGGGGTGCAAAGGTTCTGGAGGAACACCATCAGGATGGAAGGCAACATCAGTTCTTTCTCGTATCTCCATTTTTTAAATGTTTCTAAACAGATTTTATATTTACTCGCTGAGCTAGCTTTCTCACAGTCACTCACAAAGTGAAGCCCCTATAAATGCCTCAGAGTAAAGGGGCTAAGAAGTAAAGCACTCTAGAGCAAATGCTTTTGGTCACAGGTGGCAGAGATGGCCCAATACCTGCAACTGCTGTTACCATCATCCTGTGACCAAGACAAAGATATGCTCTTTTCAAGAACAAGGCCGACAGGTACTCAGACTACCTCAGATCAGTCCCAAGGTCTGAAGTTTTCTCAGGTACAATATGAAAACTCTGAAAAGCCATACGCATATCATCAAGTGTCACCACAGTGACCTTCGTTTTGTCCTGTATTCCTTTCCTGATGACTTTTGCTATTTAAAGTATCCTAGCTTCACAAAGACATAGATATTCCACAACATCAAGGTTTCACTTATCAGCTCTACCTGTCAGCTCAGAGGCCACTAACCAATATGGGAACTGGAACTGCTTCCCTCCTAAACACACCACGAGCATCACCTTTCACACTTACCTACTCCGAATTTCATCTGCCATTTTATAACCTCCTCCCTGTATTTTATAACAGCCTTTGGCATTTTTTCCAGTGCGGTCCTTTTCTTTATCACAGCACACACCGTGTCATCGCTGCTATTTAGACCAGTTTCTGCCCTGCACGCATACTCATCCAGTGCATACTATGTGTGGCAGCAAGTGATGCCTCAAGAACAAATGCATCCCTTTACTGGGATTTATTTAGGTTTATCACCTGTTTCACTGACTATCTTGCTCCTGTGTAACCAGAGAGAACAGAGGCTCTCTTACTCCCTTCTCAAGGCTTTATAGTATTTTACAGACTGTTATAACATTTACTTTATTCTTCTTCTTCCAGGTTCTAATTACAATCTTTCTGATTCCTCTCCAAGTGAGCTTGTCATTACCCTCTTCTGAATACTGTTTAGATCTGCAATACCCTCTTTACAACTGGATGGGTGGTATCATATGCATTATTAACTCTGTTGTCTCATCTGGTTTTGTAAAAAGGCACTGAAGTTTTGTAGCATTCTTTACTCTGTTCCATATGGACCATAACAATTGCTTCACTGGCTCTATACATCTCATCTGCTATCCTGCCTCCAGCCCTAAAGAAGTTGCTTCTGGATATCTACAGACAGGGTACATGTAGTTGGGCAGATACAGTCCCCCTTGCATTCTCTCTCATTTTGGCACGTACAGTGCTAATTTGTAAGAAGTACCATGCAGTTTCACAGCCCACACAACAGAATGAATGCTTGAAATTCTCCTAAATGATGAAATCATTAGGGATATGGCCAGTTGGGATGCAACTAGGAAAAGCCTGTGCATTTTTTCTAGGGGAAAGTAAGATCATGAACAGTGTTCTCTGAAGCACTCGTGCATATAGACGAGGATAACCTGGTCCATCCACCTGGTGCCTCTGCAGTGGCCTCATGTGTAAGACAAATGCTTTGATGCAGGTCCAGAGTTGTCAAATGCAGGAGTTCTGGTGAGGTGGGGAAGGAGGTGAGCAGACTGCACAGCATCCAGAAGGGTGAACAAGAGACCAAGAGCCTTCACAGAGCCTCTGAAAGTGAGGATCCCAAACCCTTGCAATGCAAGGAAAAAGTGACAGCATGCAGCTACGTTCAAAGGAAAAACGCATGGAGGCTCCCAAAAGGATGGGAGCTGGCAGCAGGAGGCTCCTGCACCACACGTGGGTCTGCTATTGCAGAAGAGAGTTACCTGGGAGCAGGGGAGGAGTGACAAGGCCTGTCAAGGAGACCTCACAGCCATCTGAGCCTGACGAAAATGTTTGTACCAGGAAGCAAATATGTGTGGCGGTCACTGAAGACCCCTTCCTGCAGGAAATGCGTGCCCCATCTGACTTGATGTCTCAGGAACTTTGTGGCTTGTTGAAAGCCTGGATTTGGCATGATAAGGACAGAGTGCCAAGGTCTGTGTGTCCTGACTATTAACCCATGCTGCTCACTCATGGGAGCACCAGAAATACTATCAGGGGTGACCTAGAGTATAAAGAGACCGACTACTGATCGGTCTGCATGAAGCTCTCCTTGGAGCAGGTGATGAGATGGCCACTGCTGATGGATAACTGATGAGCAATAACTAACACAAGTAACATCATGGTGGTTGTCTGCTACCGACTGATCAAGAAGAGAAAGTAGATGAAGCCTCATTTAGACAACTGAAGGGAACCTTACGGCTGCAAGCACTGGTGCACGTAGGGGGCTTGGCTATCCCTGATCTCTGCCTGGAGAGGAAATATGTCTGGGTGAAGCAATACAGCAGCTTTCTGGTGAGCATTGAACAGAACCAGAAAATAAAGAAATGAAAGTCACAAAAAGGATAACAATGAAGAGGAGCACCGTTTCTTTTCTCCAGTATTAGTTCATTCACCCAAATTTGGAAGTCTCAGGTTCATAAATTTGGAAGTTCCAGGTTCATAAATTCCTCGGCTACATGAATTCCTACATTTTCACTTGATGGCAAAGTACCACAAACAAGCAGGCATCTTGTGATCTCTCCCATTGAAACTTCACAGCTTTGAACAAAATTAAGATTCATTCCCTAGGAAAGGGACCTCAGGAGTTTCACAGTCCCAGAAATCCTGCCGCCTGTGACCAAGTTATTTTTCAGTAAATATGTAAGTAATATTTTTTTGGTGCTGCATACTAAGGGTAATGGACCAGGAATACTTTGTGCGCTATCACTGTCAGCACTCCCTTGAGAAACTGGAAATCTCAGGTCAGACATGCCTTACTGGTTAAGAGCTGTGATCTGTTTTCAGTATTTGTCACCCTTCAAACAGGAGAGCACGGGTATTGGGGGCTTGGAGAAATGGTAAAGAAATCAGCATCTTCTCTGGGAAATTTGTCAAGCTGCCTCTCTTTCCCTTCATTTTTCTGTCCTCACTTACAAGCATTTGAAACAAAAACCTCTGGAAAAAAATAGCTTTTTGCACTGGCAGTCTGCCCTGATTATCATAATAGCCAGCGTCCCTCCTGCTAACCAGGCTGTTGACTCTGATACAGATGCTGGAAATGCTGATGGCAGCCAAAGTAACAGACTCCAGACCAGCTGTAAGAAGCTCTCAGCACACATTGGACATCAAATGGCCACATGGCTGATACACATCTGCTCTACCTGTCCAAAGGAGTAAACATCAAACTATATTTTCTACAACTCTCAGAGAAATATTGAGTAATGAGACTCCTGAAAACAACTAATTTTTCTAATTGCTGACGCAGGAAAAAAATGTTGCTGATGCTTCCTTACATACTTTCTGGTTCCAACCATCTTTTGTCTCTATCCTGCCATGTGAGTTACCATTCGTGCTAGCATTAGCATCCCACATTAGGTATATCAGAGGGTCAGGGTTTCAACTAATCTCTCAAAAAATCAAAAGGAAACATTTTCAACAACAGCCTATGCTATCTGCCTGCTAAGGGGCTCCTTGACTCTTGATATCAAAAATAAAAATAAAAAAAAAATCCATACTGGTTGACATCAGTGAATTGACATAAAATAATAAAATAAAAAATCTGTGTCAATAAACTTTCTAGTGGATTTTGTTCCGTGGAATTGCTGGCCTTTCCCTTTTTTAAAATCAAGAGTGTTTTCAATACAGAAAACTGGCCAAAAATAAGAGTGTCAAAGATTTTTAAAACAAACAAACAAAAAACACATCACAACATCCTAAAATCCAAGTCCACCATCTGTATTACTGGCAATTAATTCACAGTGTTTCAGAATAGCTAACAAGCAAGACTGAGGTTATGAATTTCGGTGGATGTAAAAATGGCAAGTATTTTTATGGTATTTTCCATAATGTAAGGTAATACATGAAACTCTAGGAAAGTGCACGGAACCCACCTGAGCAGAAAGTGTCTATTAAAAAATGAATATGACTGAAAGTTAAATTAAAAAAAAAATGCATCCAGAAAAAGAGAGTGACCTCCTTCTCCTACATATATTTTATATTGTGCCTCAGAACCAAATGATGAAAAGATGCATACGGGATGATTGTGTTACATATCTGGGAATTTTACTCCTCACATATAAAAGAACTGAAAGAGAATGATGAAAGAAGAATCTACGTTGTTGGCTTGAAATAATCTCCCTGGTGAAATGAAAGATTGAGCTCTTAATTAAAAAAAAAAAAAGAGAGAGAAACAAAAGAAAAGTTTTAAAATATATGAAAATCTCTCTTCTCTTTATTCAGCATTTGGGATTTCTTCCAGGCACAGCTTCAGAGCGGCTCTGCAACAATGTCTTCTAGAGCAGAGTTTTCTACTTTTTCTGCCAGCGTGAAGCTGCTGCAAGGGTGCTTCACCTCCTCAATATTATTGCTCAGGGCTGATGGTTAACATCACTTTGGGCATCTGCAGCCTAACCCTCCCCACCTACTACAGACCAGTTACTCTAGAGAGCACTTTGCAACTAAATTAGATTAAGGAGCACACAGAAACACAACTAGGGAGAGTGCAGTGTGGGGGCAGGGAAGAGAAAATCTAATTCCATTTGCTTTCATACTCCCATTCGTCCCATCTCCTTCCCAATCCTCCGTGCATTATCTGGGTAGCAATCTCACCGTGCTTCTCTAGGCAAATCTGAGTCCAGTTAGAACTCAATAGTGGTACCGGGCAGCAGGGACACAGAGGAATCAAACAGCTTGGTGACTAAGGTACAATGATAAAAGGAAGTGAAGTAAATGTTTATTTTTATTGTTTTATTTTTGCTTAAAAACAAGCACACATCACCTGAAGTATGGCAGAGGAGAGCAGGTATATGGGACTTTACCATATATGACCTTTACACATTGAACAAACTTATAAAAATATGAAAAAAATAGAAGAAAAATCCCCACCTATGTTCATCTGCTCAAGACACAGAACTTGCTCACTGGTCTTTTCTTTCTTCCTGCTCCCTAAATGTATCCTGCATTAATGAGTCTTTGAATTTAGCTCTCACATTGTCAACAGTTTTCAGAACAACTAATATCTCACAGATGGAGAAGTTGTGGTATAAGGTATAAGCCTAGGATGATAAACAGAGAGATTGTCTGATCCCTCCAAGCTTGTGCTGTATTCCAGAATAAGTCTGGGAATGCTCTGACTGCAACTTGTTGGAATACCTGGAGTGTCTGAAGCTTACGGCACCCTTACAAAGTGACACCAGATAATATGGTGCTGGTAAAAGGACTGAAGATAAAACACAGGCCAGGTAGTACAAGTTGTGCGCCCTGTTCTTACCTCCTCTTCAAGCAGGCACACAAATACTGCTCCTAAGAAATCCAGTTGGTGGACAATAGACACAAAACCAGAACCAGACGAGAGTGCTAACAGCATTATGGTTCACAGGAAGCTCAGCCTCAGAGATTGTGCTGTCCTCTAAACTCTTGTTGGTTTTAAGAGGCTTTACGAAGCCACCAACCTTGTTCCCCAGCTCATGCTCTCAGAGACCTGAAGTACACGAGCCCTCAGATACTACAAAAGTTACATGGCCAGCACTGGGTTCATTCTCTTTGCTTGGCCAGCATGCACCCAGTAAGTATTCTAAGTCCATGGAAAATACAATTAACCTGAAGGAAAAAACAATAACAATAAATAAAAGCCACACATCTTGTGAGACAATAGCAAGCATCCCTTTGATCACCAGCTCAAAGTCAAGTGCTGCTTCTCGCCTTGCAGAAAACGCAGTCCAATATAATGTCCAAGCATAACAACCACAAAAACAACAGAATAACAAAACCTTTTCCTTGCCTAAGCAATAGCAGAACTGGCAACAAAGAAATTACTTAAAATTTACTTACTGGCCTGACTTCACCAGTGGTGTTGGTATACTGACGGGCCAGACCGAAGTCTAACATGTAGCATTTCCTGTACGTTGAAGGTAAACGGCCCATGGCAAAATTGGACTAGACAAAAAGAAAAAAAAAAAAAAGAATAAAAAAATAAGTGTGATAACAGCAACTTGGCTAAGAGCCACCATTTGTTGACAAAACGTTGTCATATAGCCTCACACACTTCTGGTGAAAACATGAGAGGAATTTTCAGAAACACCTCATGGTGCATCTTAAGCACCATGACCTGCAGAATCACTGCCATACTAGCAAGTTCACTTCGCAGTTAAAATTTATCTGAAATTTAAATTTATCTGAACATTCGGGCATCTAAAAAAACAATGCTTTTGGTTCTTAGTAAATAAATTGACAACAAGGAAGTTGAGCAGCTCTCATTTAACTCCCATTTTGAAGATGTGGCCTTTACCATACTGGATGGCTGCTAAAAGGATTTGTGGCCAGCCTCACTAGTGACAAGTTAGCTAACTTTTCAGATGAATCTGGTCGACCAAAACCAGCTGATTTTAAACACAGTGAATTGAACAAGAAAGACTGTCATGACAATAGTGTAGCAAGAGGTGTTCAGGTCAAGCAGTTAAGAGTTATGAGAAAGAGACTATGGCTCCTGCAGTGAGACTTGGAATTATTGTGCCTCACCTAGGCGTCTAGATGACCAACACTGCAACTGTGTTTTCCAACACTGGAAACTGTGCTCCAATTGGCAGTTGCTCAGAAGAGATTTAAAGGATTATTTAGTTAATGAAATGGCATTTATTCAAGTGATAGGTCATAGTACAAGACATCCTTTCTAAATTCCTTTTATATAGTAGTAATTGGTTGGACTTCAGATAATTGCTCAGAGTCAGATTGTTTCCTCATGATCCTCACTGGGAGAAGTATGACTGACAGCTACTAATCCACCATGGATTGGTCTCTGCCAATAAAAACTGGTTTGCTATGCACTTAAAGGAATAACACTGATATAACACTGCCATTTTATGTTTATAGAAAATAGCCTGTGTGTCAGACAGAGGGAGAGTGCAAGGAAGCCTAAATGCCCTCATTGAAATATGTCCATGTTCAACCCACCAGGCTGTCTTTATTGACTCAAATATAACAGACATACCACCAAAAGGCAAATTTCCAAAACAACGTACAGGCTTGATGTCACGATGCAGGAATCCCACGGAGTGAATGGCTTCTATTGACTCCAGAATCTGTTTGCCTAATCGCAGTGTTGTGCTCAGCGTGAAAGTCCCTCGAGGCTGACTTCTTCTGAGATCTGCAAGATTTCGGCCCTGAAACAATCAATACAATATTTAAACTACCATAATAAAGCAGAGAATTGCACAGCTGCAAGATCTAACATGTATCCTCCCAAAAGCAGAAATGCTAATTGGACATGTTTACCTATGTCTCCTTTATTTCTTCTACATGGTCTTCCAATGCTTCATTTTAACTTTTAACTGATGAATTTGCTGATAAGAGGATATTAAACTGGTATCCTGGGAAGTCAGATGATCTATTATTTGGGAAATAGGCAAGGCAGGGGCAGCAGAGTCTCTGATTGTATAAGCCTAGCACCTCCTTACTGTCAAACCCAGTCTACACAGAAGCTGAATTAAGAACAACCTTTGACTTTTCTCTGAGACAAGGAAAGATTAGAGCAGGACAAATATGATAAACAGGTCATGAAGCTATTTGTTACAGCTCACAGAAGCAGTTTCATCACAAATTCCCCAGCACACAACTGTCTGGCTCAAGTTCAAGTCACCATTGTCGTGGCAATGCTGCAGCGGGGAAAGCTGTCTATCAGGAAAGGACGATTTTTTCCACTGACTTTAAAAATACTTTTTCAAAAAAATTTACTTCCAATTAATTTCCAATTTACTTCCAATTAATTAAATTTCTGGAAAAAAATCTAGCAGTACAGCATGAAAATAAAAACAATTTAACAACAAAAAAAAGGGACAGACTTAGCACTAGAATCACGTGTTCTTTGATCCCTGTCATCTCAGTTTTGCTTATACCTCTTTTGATTTGTAAAGAGAAATAAGGTTTTTAAATTAGTATCTTCTATGACAGGCTACCCCTCTAATCCACAGAACTAATGCAGGTTATCAACTGATCAAAACCATTGGGAATAAAAGTACACTGTTTCAGATTGTGTGCATCAAGAATAAGTTATGCAGACACATCGATTATCCCAATAATATAAAACCAGTTGATTCTGCTTCTGCAGAGACATATATGCCCACAATAAAAGTCCAGGGGTATTCAAAGTCCGCTGCAGAACATACATAAAAGATACCAAATATTTGATGAGAAAGCACAGGCTGTTCTCCAAACCAGTAAAACGCCACCTATTCATTCACCCATCTCCAATTGCCAAGTAAATAACTTGGACAGACGTTTAGGAGCCAACTGCAACTGGCTCTTTAGCTAAGACTAACCTTTCAAATTGGTTTCACCCCTGTCTTCCTCCAGGGATCTGGTGCCTTGAAAGCCACACTTGACAGACCAGCTAATACAGATTCAGCTAAGCAACTGCAACTGGTCCAAGTTTGTTCCTTAGTCTTATCTTTTTTTCTTTTTTTAACATTTCTGTGACATTTTACTAGAAGCAGTACAGATTTGTCATCATTATCCCGAAAGATCCTAGTTTCTAAATTGATGGCAGATTTCTTTCCCCTGTAAAGTGGTTCTTTGGACACTGATTTTTTTTTCAGTAAGATTTTTTCAGAGCTGTACATTGAAATGTTCCACAATTTTCCCCAGCTGGTTTGGAAAACAGTCTCAGAGACCTGCTCCCTAGTCATGTGAAAGCTGTGATCATCCAATATTGCCCTCAGGAAAAGACTGAAGATTATTTTCCAAATAAATACAACCAGGCAGGCTGAGAAACTGAGCAGATGCAATGAGTTGCAAGGCTTAGACTGGAAGCTTCAGTCTGTGTGAGCAAGGAGAAAGGGGTAATTGCAGTACACTACAGCCAGAAGGATGCATGATAAACCACATGGCGGCAGACCCTGAAGTTGAAGGGGAATTTTAGCCTGAAGAGTGATGGTGCAAAACGAGCTCTGCTTTAAGCAGCAAAGCCTTCATTAACAAATAATGAAATACATTTTAGCTTTGCTGACTCCACACGCTCAGCTACATAGTTAAGAACAGACTAGAAAGTAAGAGATTCTGTGCAAAGAATTTTTTTCCCCCCAAGGGATAGTCATCTTCAACAGGCTTGTTAAGGGCAGGGTTGGGGTTAGAAGTCTTGTCATACAATGAGCTCCAGATTAGCCTTGTCAAGAATCATATTCACACTCACACTGCAGCCATGGTCAGGGCTGGTTAGAGAGCAAAAGGTTTTGTTCTGTCCATAACATCAGCAGCTGGGATGCCAACACTGCATAAAAGGCAAAGCCAAGCACTTCAAAAAAGTGAGAAGCATATTTTAAAGAAGCACTGGAGTCTGCTGATGTCTATTTTACCTCATTCAGCATTTAATTAAAAATAACCTTCCAGTTTATGCAGCAGCTTACTTCTTGTTGCTTACTAATTCATCCTTCTCACTTCAGCATGTACTGTCACCCAGATTATACAAAAAGAAACACAACATGGGCTGTAAGCTCTTCAGGAGAAGGGTGGGTTTGCATGGTGTAATCATACAGTGGTTTATATAGCAAAGCCCTGATCATACAAGCTACAAGGGAGTTAGGACAAGTTCCCTTTCAACTCCTCTGACAGGTGATGAGACAGGCTAGTTTCCAAAACAATTATGTCAGAAAAAAACAGTTTTAATTTCAAAGTATTCCCTTTGAGACGGGAATCTCCCTCCTCCCTTAAAGGCCTTTCTTCCATGTGCTTTTGATTCAGGTGTATCTTCCACTTGCTCACCTCCAGCTCTTTCTCCTATGACTGCAATACTGAAAACAAAAGCTTCTTTCATGGAAAAAAAAATAATAATCTGCTTTCGTGACATTACCACCACATTCAGGCTGTGAAGGCCTAACTACATGCGTTTACTTGGTAAAGTCTCATGCTCAACCCTGCAGCTCTTGGTGTTCTGTAGACGGACCCATACAACCCTTTATCTGGCTACCTCCAACAGGAGTAACTGGCTGTCTAGAAGTATGGTGACCATATGCCAGCTATCCAAATGTTTACCCTGCTTGACTTAGTATCAGTGGTGCACAAACAGGAGAAAAAAACCTTCCACAGCAGACACCGTGCTACTGCTGAGCTTGGTAGAGATGGAGCCAGAGATCATTCTCGTTCGCAGAGAAGACTGCTGCTGGTATGATACCAGTGGCCCCGACCACACTTGAGCCCTGATGCAAGACACATTTTAAATGCTCTATCACAGCTCAGCAGGCGATAGTTCAAACAGCTGCCACTGCTGCAAGATGCTGTGGGTAGCTCCAGCAAGCATTCTAGATTGAGTGCTTTCCCCAGAAAATTGTCAGAGAGACATTTTAAACAGAAAAGTGGAGCTATGAAATATCTTAGCACGTCTTGACAACTGGAGGTACCCCAAGGGATATCACAGCAACACCACCCCTTCTCACTGTCTCCCGTTCCACCCACTTCCTACGCTGAGCGTAGTCTCTGCACCAGTGCTTGGCCTTATTCCTTCACTGTAAAACCTTCCCTGTGATGCCACCTCAGTGGAATGGGGTCAGAAGAAGCACAGAACTCACCTGAAGTTGCATGACCACATAATTAAATTTTTCATTCCTTCCACAGCCAATAAATCTGCAAACATGATCCTTCCCTGCAAAGAAACAGAAACACACAGAATGGAACATAAGACAACGACCCTGTGATCACAACTTGTAGAAAAATGGTTTCTAAAAAGGGCTGGTAACCATAAGTGGCATCAGGCAGGGAGTTCTGCAGAACAGATTAATTTTGTTTTTACTTCCCAGCCCCACACTTCAAGACAGCAA